AGAACTTCTTCCAGATGGTCCCACCTACTCCCAAACAGGGCTGAAAACTACGTTCAGTATCCTCTTTATACAGCTTCAGTTTTCCTCCCTTTCCTCTCCTTCTGTCATACATCACAAAATCCCAAACAGTTTCCGATGGACTTCCAAGTCCATACTTACATTTATTCACAACAGTTTCATGTATTTACACAATTCAGGACGGACAGCAAGCTGTGGGTTCAGGCCCAGAAGTTTGTACGAACAGCACGAATTTTCAGGACGAAATACGCTATTAACTCCACAATAAAGATGGTAATATTTCGGAATTTTCAAAAATGATGGCACATAAATTAACGTAATTAGATATAATGTTACCATATGCGAATTTTATATTTTTGTATTATGTCTTTCGCGGCAAAAGTTTTCATATAAATTTTTTTCAGTTAGGCAACGTAATACAAATGTTTCGCTGGGGGCGATTGTCGATCAGGTCCACCTTAAATCCTCCATTTCTAACATGAAAAAATAATCCCATACTACATCGGTCGTCGCACAGGATTATCAGGACCGCGCGGCCCATTGCATCGAGCAGGGTGGGTAGTTATAAGTGAGTTACTACTCGGACATCCCAACTTTTGTGTAAGTCTGTCTTCCGTACCCAACCCTAACCCTTTACCCCTTCTTCCGACCCGTAACATTCCTTCAGACAACTTGCTCTTCACTCGCCCAAGTTCGTTACTAGATAGCGCTATAAGTAGTTTACCACAAAATAGATTGCAGGTTCTGAGGGCTCGTTAACCACTTCTACCATCACGACGAAACTGCACCTTGACGTGGTATGATGGCTTGTGCACCTCTATAACCCAACGAGTTACACAGGATAGCTTTTACCGAGCCAAAGATCTAATCATGCCTGAAGGTCAATAGGTAGAGGTCAGACGAAGTCCAGTCTCCTGGTCTCCAGGTTGGGGGTTCGACTTGAGTCGGCCTCTCAGTCTATAAAACGTGTTGGAGGAATAGTTGATCCAAGTTAATGGGCCTCCAATCCGCCTTAACCGTTNTCTTGTCAGAACTAAAGGTTTTGGTTGAGAACCCTAGTCGTTCTTCTGCTTAGTGGCTGGACACCCTGGCAGTACCCGTCCATAAAGCTCCAATGAACACAAACAAAAAATAATTTCATACTGCATCGGTCGTCGCGTAGGATAATCAGGACTGCGTTGCCCATTTCATTGAGCGGAGTGGGTAGTGATATGTGGGCTACTGCTCAGATATCCCAACCTTTGTTTAACTCTTTGTCTTCCGTACCCAACCCTATCCCTTTACCCCTTCTTCCGACTCGTAATATTCCCTCTGACAACTTGGTCGTCACTCGCCAAAGGTCTGCCAAATAGCACTGTAACTAGTTTTCCTGTAGATAAAGTGCAGATTCTGAAGCCTCATCAACCCCTCAATCTGGGGGCTTCCAACGTGAGGACTTATGCAGGTGTGTCTTGCGCGTACAACACAGTCTCTAGAAATCGATGTCTGTTGCGTATCGGAGTCACGAATTCAGGACCCTAGTATTATAAGCCACCTGAGTGCGCAGGGTCTGTCCTCGAGGTATTTCCTTCGCACATCAGGAGATGACGAAGCCCGCTCACTGGGGCAGCGTGGTGTAGGTATCGTACTAAACGATAAAGCTAAAGCCTCTATGATAGATTTGATACCCGTCAATAGTCGTCTGTGCGCAATGAGGCTACAGGATTCAGTTAGTGTTCGGAAGGGTAGCAACACCAAAAGGTGTTTGTTCATCATTTCCGCGTATGCACCAACCAACTGCAGTCCCGCTTCACAAAAGGATGAATTTTACGATAAACTCGCCGAACTGATTCGGTTGAGCCGCAACTCTGATATTATAGTGCCGGTAAGTGATTTTAACGCGCAGGTTGGAAAACTGAGCGAAGCCTGTTTGGGAGGGAACTTCACCCTCCCCGCTCAGTGAACAGACAACGGTGATCGACTACTTCAGTTCTGCGCTGTTTACCGACTGTTTTTATCTAGCACCAAATTTCGACACAGCTCTCGTCGAACGGCTACATGGTGTTCAAGTTCAACGGGAAAATTGATCCAAATTGACCACATAGCTGTAAGCTACCGTTGGCGTGGTTCAGTACAAAATTGCAGATCCTATTGGTCCACCTACATTGAGTCGGATCATGCACTAGTTCTGTTACGCT